AACATTCTGAAAAGTTCTATTAAAGTAGTTTTAAACATCTGAAAAGTTTCATTTAAGATATTAGTTAGGTCCCAAGTTACATATTGCAAGTATATAATTTTTTTCTGAATTGGAACACTGAGGGTGAAAAGTAGATAAACCTAATGCAATTTTGACGGAATTGATTATTATTCCAAATTGTCATCCCAGTAAATGAATTAAAATTTTATCAGTGAAAAACAAAAATTAATGAATTACTTTATATAAAATTTAAACGATTAATTTTAAACTCGCGATATTGCATGAATAACCAAACTTTGAAACCAATCCTTGCAAAATAGTGAAAATTGACTTAATCATTGATTCACTGGGATGACAGAATTATTACCTCTTATTTTAATCTTTTATGAAAATCGAATAATTCCGAACTCTTGCATATTGTATGACTTTATAGTTGTATTATGTGAATTCCGCATGTAGGGAAAACTTGTTCGACTGCATTCTATGCATTTGTCAAGCATAACATAAAATTTGTCTCTTGTCATATATCATATCTATCTATATTCATAATAATTATCCTAGTAATTACATATAAATAAACTTATTTTATGATACCTTTGGTGTAGTAATTTTCTTGTTGATAAACTATCTGTAGAATAGATCATTGACAATTATATAATTTATGTGTGTAAGTAAGGATTTATGTTAAATGAGAGTAATAGATTTATATTGATAAAAACACTATCGATGTAGGTCAGGAGTACTTAATTATTGATATACAAATCTTAGGTATTGCATTGTACAGTAATGTCCTCGGCAATCATTTTGAATTTTGAGGTATTAAATCTGACAATTAAAAATTTTCAATTAGTTTTAAATGCGAAAATATTACTTACGGGATTATTTAACCTTTAATGGTTTGATATAATGGTTGAAATATGCCTCCGTTCCTTGAAAAACTAAAACCTTATTGAAATGGAATTTTTCATGAAATGAAATATAATAATTTTTTTGGAAATCTTGAGATAGATTTCCAACTGATAGACTACTACTGATAAAAGTGTAAAAATGCATAATTTTGCTAAAATGGTAAGACCAAGCATAATAATCTACGTTTGAAGCATTTAAATATTAAAAAAAATAAATAGCCTTATATAAATTTCATAAATTATTTCAATACAAATGTTTTTAATTTATTATTATAAAATTAGAACATTATATATTTCAATATACATATATACAACCATTTAGATTACTGGCTTTTCCGAGAGATATGGATGCTCAGTTAAGCAATGCACCCAAAATTTATATGTGATAATGCAATATATTCTGTCATTTTCTCTGAGTTTAACATATTCGATATGATTAATTATATAAAATTAAGTTGTGACTATTTTTTGATTGTTTATTCTTGTTACAGAACTATAAAAGTGTATAGATATTTCACACTGGCTTAAATTCAAGAAATAGTTTTCATTGCAGAAAATAATGTTTTTAGATTTTTTTGATTCTTTATCTCAAGTTATTAAATTTCACAGCTGCTTTTATGATACTTGAATTATTATGTCAAATCAGATTATTCGATTTTAATTCAAAACAACTTATACGCCGTCATCAAGTTAATTATTCGTCAATACACATGGAATATTCGACGAATATATTATTTTTTGTTATTAAATAATGCTCAACATTATTATTAAAATTTCTACAAATTTAGTATATATAGGGATGACTAATTTATATGAACCGTGATTCATATTTCATGCAGAGTATATTATATGTTTGCAATAATATAAACCCAACGCCTCTTAGATCACATAAATAACTCTAACCGTAATAATATGAACCGTGATTCAAAATAGTTTCAAGTAAGTTGAAGCAGTTTAAGATATCAAAAGATATTTATCAATTAACAAATGTTTTTTACTACATATTACGCGAATGAGCTGGGAAATTCACAAATATAATTATTTCTCATTCGCGTATTACAAAATTGCTTAGTTTGGGATATCTTTATTAATGTAACATATATCATTGTGGTTATAAACACTGCATTTGCTCATTAATTCTAATAACCTGTCTAACTTTATAGAATTTACTTGGAAAAAGTATTACTACACTATCTGTATATTTCCACTATGACAACCTAATTGCAACAATGCGGATGTAAAAAACTGTTGTTTTCAAATATTTGATTCTTAAGATAAATATTTACCATTCAAGGTATAGTACCTAGAATAGCAAATAATTCCTACTTGTCGTAACGCATTATCGAGTCATATTGTATTTAAAATCATGTTTGTATAAATAATTTACCCAACCGAAATTTCATGTGTAGTGTACGGTTAAAGATACGAAAAGTTCAAAGAAATACATTGTTAATGATTGCAAGTCGAAATTCTCTAACAATGTCAATGTCGTGCCAAAAATGTCTGTACGGACAGAAATTGTATTTGCTATTGGCAAATATCTAGTTTTGTATTTATTTAATGAATAAACAATAGTCTACTCTTTCATATTTGAGATAAGAATTATATGTTTAATATCTCATTTATCTTGACACACTAATAATTTGTTGTGCCGGATTTATCGCATTCAGTTTTCATTAACATAGATTTACAAATTTCTTTGTTTATTTAAAACAAGAGAAAATCAGGGGAATAAAACAGATATTATAGTAGAAAACTTCAGTCACTTTTGCCCATCTATATGTATACTGACTACCATTAGAGCTTTAAAATGTACTAAAAATAATATTAGCGCCCAAATTCAAAAAAAATCGTATTCTTATATTTATAGACAGAAAAAACTGTAATAAATATTAATATATGTGTTTGACGATGTGTGCTAGAAAAGAGTTGTGCAGAAATTTTAAATTTAAATTATATCAGAGAGAGCCAAAAGAAAATTGTAGGCAGAAATTTGAAATTTAGATTGCATAAAAAGTTCAAATAATAATTAACGAAAGAAAATGCAGCAAAATGTTGATACTTTTGGTCGAGCACTAAAAACAATCAGTTTTGTATCCCAAATATTTACAAGTAATTATATTTTAAATTCAAAGTACATTGTGCAATTTTCGACTACTTTTGTTTGAAATAGAATTATAAGATAATCCTAATAAATAAGTATAAATCTACTTACATAGATTTTATGATTTTAAATAATTGTAAGTGAGATAACTATCTCTAGGTGAGACAAATTAAAAGTTTTTATTAATTATTCATATAAACCAGTTACTTAGTTTTTACAACTATTATAACAACTCATTCTGAAAATTGTAATTCAGAGCTACTTTAAATATTTATCTGTTCATTTAGACTGTTGTTCATTAATATATAAAATATATTTTACTTTGTATAAATATTCATTAAAATTTAAAATTGCGTAATTTGAATTGCAGATTTTTCAATGCTTCACAGCCTTATATTTGACTTATTTTTATCATTTTAACTGCTTCTTTTTAATTAATGCAACTGTTTTTTACACTAAGACCGATTCTAATCAAAAAAACTTTTATTTCTAAAAATATCACGTGCAATTGTCGATATCAGATGGGAAAAATATTGCTCAGTTAGATTAATTACATTATCATTTTGTATTTTGTTTAATTTTTATGTAGATTTAAACACCTAGGATTTGCAAACATTGAAAAAGTATATAGAATATGGAAAATGAGATCAAATTTATTTGTTTCGATAGTAAATATTTGAATTTGAAAACTTTATGTTTTTACATTTTATGTTAATAAAGCAAATTATTGAAAGTTAGAGAGCTAACATTCAGTATATAAGTATATAAAAAAAAAATTCTTAATGCGTTAATAATTTGTAAATTTAATATTATTATTCTGAAATATAAATAAACTATTTATGCTGTGTTAACTACCTCTAGTTTAAATAATTTACATATAATTAGTAGATAATCCATTCAAAATTTTATTTAGAAAGTTGAATCTGATGATAAATATGCAGATGATCAATTAAAAATATCAGTAGAAAGTATTAATTTGTCTAGTACAACTTACCACCATGGTTTTTTGCGTAAGAATATTCGCAACTTTCAAAACCCGATAAATAAACAGTTTATTGACATTTATATCATTTTCGAAAGATATCATTCGATTTTGTTTTAATTAAGACATAAAGCGCTTAATAATTAGAAAGACAATTTTAAAAATTGGCTCAACACAAAAATATTAAATATAAGTGATTTGATTACTCTACTTTTCAAGTAAACTTCATAAATCAACAATCAAGTGCAACAAAGTAACTTCTTCACTACATCTCGTCACACAATTATGTTTACAATTACAGATATGTCAGGTCGTAATTTTATTTTTATATCAAACTGGTCTGATCTGATATTATAATTTTTATTGAAACTTGCATCGGCCGTCTTTCAGTTTTATAATTTTCTTGTCAATTGGTAATAAATTATATGCATCGAGTTAATAGACATTTTCATTACACATAATAGACGTAATTTGCGATCAATTGTAATTTGTAGAGAAGATGACTCTGCACAAATTTCCATGTCAAGGTTATCAAATCTAAGATCCCAAATTAAATAAATAGACTATTTACTACTTCAATAAATAAAGTCGAAGTGTGATAGATATACTTTCTTAGTTGTGATCACTAGATAATATATTCAAACCCAGGACAACCCGATGCTGCAGTGATATTTATTTTTACTACAAGATAATTATATTAATTATATTCATTATTTCTATTACAATATATAATAAATAAATTAATATAATATACTATTTCAAAAACATGTCTCTGTTAGAAACCAGTTGATAATTTAATTATGTTTTGAAAAAAAAAACAACTTGAATTTGCTGAAGTTATGGACCAGTACATATTTTTATTTATTATTAAATACATTTAGTTAACATTACCTCATTTATAATTTTCATAGCAACTTCATGGAATTATATTCTGAACTATATTTTATATTCATAATTGATTTTATAAATTTTTTTATATAATTTTTTTTAATTTTTCAGGGTCGCCATGGGTCACAAAAATTTGTGGCGGATCGGCGCCACTGCACGGGACCGAATGTTTTCTATGCCAAATTCAAAACAAACTACACCTTTAGGAATGATGATTTCGGATAAAGGCAAAATTAAACGAGGTTAGTTGAAAAACAAATATATCATAAATTTTATATCATTTTATTTACTTGCTGTATTTTATTACTTTTTGTGAAATATTATATACCTACCTAATGTTTTGTTGTCTCATAAACCACTCTCATAAACAACGTCGATGGGTCTAACTTTGCTACAGTTTTATTCATGTGACCAAACAGGCTGCATTAAATTTGAATAATTTAAAAATAAATTTGTGCAATAACTATAATCTTAAAAGAAATGCGTTAATATTTTGTTCTTTGTATTTAAAAATTAAGCTCTTGTATTAAAGCGCCATCATCGAGTTACATGAATTTTATACCTACAAGTTTCATTATACTACCTCGAGAATACATCATTTTATTTTGGAAAAGCTTTTAAACAGCATAATTAAAGCATTGCCACATGGCTACAAAAAGAAAATATTTGTCTGTAAAATCTTATTATTTAAGTCATATTTGGCATTTTTCGCTTTAAATGACCCATGCAATTTTTTTTATTTGTTGGACCGGTGTAATTAATAAAAATAATTTCAAACTTTTATTAAAGCTGCTTTACATATTTTGATAAAGTATGTAAAAAACATAAATCAATCACATATATAAATACAAAAATATCATTTTATTATTCATCGGATCTTTTCAATTACAATTTGGACATTACTATTAAATATAGTCAGGTCATTTATGAAGATATATTTTATACATACGTTTTTTTCCATCTGCTCACCAATTAAGTAAATCATAATATAAAATATAAAGCGATTCATTAACTTAACATTTTCTGAAATAAAGTTTCCGAAAGTTATTATAATAAAATTTTAATTATAGCTGAATGTACTGTGTAAAAAAAATTGATATATCAAATTATTTAAAAACTAGTTGGTATTGCCTTGAGGCAAGTTACATGAACTTCCCGATATGTGTAAATAATTGACTTAATCAATAAAAACTAAATTAATTTATGAGTGATTAAAAGTATTCCGAGTTGATTTATTGCACATAATTGAAAAGAGACGAACACGTTATTTTTATAAATTAAACAATGTTTATAATTGAATCAGTTTCCGTAGGACTTTATTGGTTTAGTACGTTCATTCAGGCCAAGTACTCTATCGTTATACCAAGTAAATCGTCTAATTTTAATTTTAACAAACGTCACAAAAACTACTCATTTTCTCAAACTATGATGATTTTTTAAAATAAAACTGCTTGTCGTAAGGCCGTAATATTTTAGTTAGTTCTATAAGACCATGATATATATCGCCAAAAAAAGTTCCATAAAATTCGGTATAATTTTTTTTCTAACACTTAATTACAAGAAAACGGCTCGGTAGATTTTCGCCTAAAACTAATCAGTTTCATTCCCAATTGATATGATTCGAACAGTTTTTGATTTTTTAAAATCGATTCGGTAGTATGAGCTTAAACGTGGACGAAAAGTTTAACACTCTTTTTTGAATTATAAATAAACGACGAAAACAAACTTCTCCTTCGTAAAGTTAAAAATTGTATGTACTACGAAGAAACTATTTCACGCAATGAAACTTTTGTGCTTTTATATATACTGATTGAAAGTAGACGTAAATTGCGTTTATAAATTTGTTTATAATAATTATGAGATTATTGTAACTTTTTCATATTTACTTACATTATTTTCGAAAATAAAAAAACGTTGGCTTTATTAATATATGTTACACTCAAACAGTGCGAGAATTCCTTTCGTAAAAATATAGTATGAATTACGTGAGGTTACTAGAACTTTTATACAAATTGCATGTGAAGACAAACCGCTATTAACTGACTTATAAATATATATTTTTTATTGTAAATAATTTTAAAACGAATGAATTATTGCGGTTATGGTCGACCACCGCATTTAAGAGTAGCCTATCATTAACAAGTAATCATCATTTTGTTATTATCGATAATTATTCAATCAGACAACAATTATAACACTTCTTTGGGGTCATTGCGATTAACTTAAATACTGTTTTAATAATTGTTTATATATCAATCAATACTGAATATAGGTTGTGGAGGACGATTAAAAATTGAATACGTTTTAATAACTTGTCTGTCAGTTATTATTAATCAGTCTTGGACAAATATATTTATCTGTCAATTTAATCGCACAATACAGTACTTAAAGTAAATTTGCTACCTAAAGCTTGAGGTCCATTCACTTTTTCATCCATTATTTTTGTAACGTTTTATTTTTAGTTTTTACTCTATTTACATGTTTTACGTTTTTCTAGTTTTCCCTTAAATCCGAGTAGTATATAGTAATATTATACATAGTAACAATAATGTTGCTATGGTTACTAAAGACTATTATATCTATACTGCTACTTCTATATATTTTTTTGGTAAAATAAATTTACTATTTCAAAACATTGTAATATTTAGTGCAAAAACTCACTGTGATTGATGTGATCAATAAAGATTTAAATACTTATAAGTGTTAAAATATTAACATTTTTTATTTACCTACTATTAATTGTAAAGGATCGATTTGACTCTCACCATAAATTAAGTAATATTTTTAAAGCTGATAAAAACAGAAATATAGTTTGAAATTTCTTAAATCAGATTCAGTTAACAGCACATAGTTATTCAAATTTGATTTTTGGTCAAATTTTATTTTAGCAAGTTCTAAAGAATTACAAGTTATAACCAGTTTAGCTGATTTAAATTTAATTTATAAAATTAATTTAAATTAGTATTCAATTTTTTTAATTCTTTTCTTTTATCGGTTGCCTTGTTTTTTTTTAAATTGTTATAAAATTATCACTTTTAATTTTTTATGATAAATAAACTAATTGAAATTGCAAATATATGTAGTAGATAATTAAGAGAGACCCAGTAAAGCGTTAAGTATCTGGTTCGCCATCAAACCGGATTGATGCTCCAAGGCAACAATCATGGTTTACAAATTAAATTAAAAAAATTAAGTTGATATAATTTAAAATAAAATTCAGAACTTGTACTTGACATTCATGAATAAAAAATAATAATAAATTAGATGTGTACTTATATAAGAATTAATTTGATTTTAATGTATGCATTAGGAATTTAAAGTATCAAAAATATATGTCTACTGATAATATGCTTAATGTGTAAAATTAATTATATTATGTTAAATATGTAATTTTAAATACAAAAAGTAATTTTACAGCAATCACTATCAAAAAATGTATTGTAATTCGGATTGATTTTATTTTGGTCAATATTACGACGAAATTACAAATTTATTAGACCGCGTACTTTCTGTGACATTACAACATCTTTTAACCTGAATTGCGCGTTACTTAACTTTGTGATAGAAGACAAATATAAACACATGACAAGTCAAAAAAAAAAAACGTATCGGTCACAAAAGAATGATTTTCTGTAAACTTACTTCAGTTTCATTGAACTTTGTTGCTTTTATGTCTCACATTGCGAAACCTTCTGACTGGAGAGCTTACATGAATCACTGAGCTCAAAGAGTGAAATGAAAATTAAGTCCTGAAGAATTTATCTATACAAAATAATTTATTTAGAAATTGTTACTTATAATCCACTGATTTTCAGAAATATCATATTTACGAAGTGCACATTTCGATAATAATCCATTTTAAAAGATACATTTTGACTTTTAACAATTACATGAATCAGTCAATTCCAAGAGAACTTCAGAAAAGAAAATTTAGTTCCGAAATATTTTTCCTAATTGTTACTTATAATGCACTTAATTTTGAAAATATTATAATTACGAAGTACACGTTTCGAAATAAATCCATTTTGAAAAGGTTAATTTTGAATTTTGAAAATTATACTTTGAAAACCAAACCAACTACACCATAACAAAGAGCAGGAATAACATGAATAATTCAACAATGTTCAGCGAATGACTCTACTACATGATTGTAAAAATATGTTTATTTGCTATATTTCTAAAATTTGTCATTTGGTTTATGGGCTAGGTAAAAAAGATTAGCCAGCCAGTAAAAAGGTTTATTACTTTATTCTTTTATTTGCTAATTTTCTAAAATTTGTCATCTGGTACAAGGGTTAGCCAGGAAGCAAAAAGCTTCTTTATTCTATTTCTAATTTTGAAGTAGTTTGGAATGATAGCTACGTTATTTAGTCAATATGATGCATTTTAAGTATTGGGTTGAACAACAAAATTAAAAATTATAATCTAAATATGTATTTTTTAAAAATATTTTAGTACGACTATCATAAATGTTGCTTTGGTAAGTAATTCCGTTCAATTCGTCATAATCAGACTCATTATATCTTGAAATACAACTATTACAAATACAACTTCTGTTTGAATTATATATTTTATGAGTACATTTTACATTACATTACATACATGAGTTACATTTTACAAAGATCACATTGCATACAAGCATACAACCTGCGTATGAAAAGAATTTATCATTCGAGTAAAAATAATTTTTGATTTAATGTAGATATATCTTATAAAATTGCTTTTATAACTTATTTAGCATTAATATTTTAATTTTAAATTTTAGGTGGTCTTTTTTATTCCAACCATAATATAATCTATTCTAGAAGTTGTATAAAAAAAGCTGTTTAATCCAATTTTAAAAATGACATTTTCTCATAAAGTAATGAATACACGTAAAACATTATGTTCTGTTATCCTCAACTAAAATTACTTTTTTTTTAAATAATGGTACCTTTTTACCCACAACTTTTAGGCCTCGCTTTGACGGACTAGTGATAGTTTCATACTTACTATTATAGAAATGAAATTTAATATATTCTTGACTGAATCATACGCAGGGCCGGATTTAGAAATTTGGCGCCCCGGGGCACTGACAAAAATGCCGCCCCATCTCTGAAATTTTACGAATTTTCGAACTTTTTTTTAAAGCAATCGCGCTGCTTCACCTGCGTAGGGACAAAAAATAGAAGCGCGTAAGCGCCACGTCGCCGTCTAACGGATAAACAATTTTACAGAACGCATATAAATGTAAACAAAATTT